CAAAATGACCCGGAAACTACCCCGGATGCCCTACTTGACCGCGCTTAGCCTGCCCGAGATGGAGCCGCATCGCAGTCGTCTACCTGCATGACCACTCGTAGCCTGCTAGCGTGACCGCGCTTAGAGTGCCCTCGTGACCGCGCGTCGCTTGACAGCGTGACCGCGCGTGACCGCGCGTGGCCGCTTGCGCGAGTCGCGTCGCCGTCGGGCGCTTGCCCCACGTTTCCTGCATCGCCGCCGGCCGCTGCCATCTCCTGCTGCCGGATCCCGTGAGTCGCCGCCTGTGCAGAAAATAGCGAAAGATGGAACCACAAGCGGGTCGGGTTGGGTTGACCCGAATTCGAAGTGGGTCGAGTTCGGGTCTAGAAAATCAACCCGTTTGCAAAAACGGGTCGGGTTGACCCAAACCCGAATAGTGCCGGGTCAATTCCGGGTTCAACCCGAACCCGACCCGTGACCCGAAATTGACACCCCTTAATTAATAATGCATCTTGAATTGTCCAGTAGTTGATATCTATTTTTTAAGAAAAAACTTAGAGGCGGAACCCAATTTAATTGACAATAAAGCATAATTATATTACAACTAAAAAACTAAAAATTACAACATAGAAACAAGTGAAGGCAAGGTTACAATGTGCTGTAACAAAAAAAAAAAAAAAAGCAATATTCAAAGAGAAGAGCACAATATAAATTCAAATTCTACTAAAAGAATGGACTAACAAAGGTTAACAAATATAACCATATATCATGTTGCAATCATAAGTGCATCCCTTGGTTTCCAAGAAGATCATCCAATTAGGTGCAGAGTTGGTGTAGGAGTTTTCAGTTATCGTACTTATTGCGTGATGTGGGGAGAATCACCAAAGAAGCATGAAGAAGAAGAAGAAGAAGAAGAAGAGCTAAACAGCTCTAGGACCAAAAACAGTGAAAACTGTTTCAAATTCCAAAAATATTCATTCATATCTATTCTTCATTACAGTAACATGCTTATATAAAAGTAATTGAACCTTCTAGAAGG